GTTGTTTATTCTATTAAGTACAATTTTTATAAAACTTTTTTGTGTTTAGGTATAAAATTCAAATGAATTAAAAACTTTTTTACTTAAATACCCTCCCTTACATTATGCGGTCATTATTGATAGTTATTTGAGAAAACAAATATGTAAAGATTAATAATAGTACTAGGAGGTAAAATAGGGGTATTAATGATCAAAACCTTTTTTCTTTGGTAACAAGATTCTATGGCAATGAGATTTGATTAGAATGCCACAAATTATATGTAAATAAACATTGAATTTTTTTTTTAAAAAAGAAAATTAATCAAGATGTTTTGTTAGATATTATGTATTGTTCGTTGTTGGGATGTAGGGAAAAAAACTTCTTTGTTTTTTTTTTAAATGAGTGTAACTGTTTTTTAATTGGTGTAACTATTTTTTTAATGGATATAACTATTTTTTAACGGGTGTAACTATTTTTTTAATGGGTGTAACTGTTTTTTAATGGGTGTAACTATTTTTTTTATGGGTGTAACTGTTTTTTAATGGTTGTAACTATTTTTTTAATAGATGTAACAATCACAGTCTCATTCAATTGTTAAGGCTTGATGGTATAACGATGCTGCGATATTAAATGGTGCAACTATTTAGTTTATGTAAACAACTGAATGACAAATTAGGTTAGTGTCATAATTTTGTGTAACTGTTTGATTTATTAGAACGCATGAGTAACTGTTTGATATATTATAAGACAAGTAACTGATTGATGTAACTAATTAGTGTAATTGTGTTACTGTACTATTAATATATTTTAATAGAGTAAGAGAAAAATATAAAGAGAGAGAGAAAAAAAAACTGTTAGAGAAAATATGTCCATATTTTACCTCTCATTGCTTGATTGTAGCCAAAATATATGGAATGAATACAAAGAGTTTCAACTCATTAGCTATTTACTGAATGACAATATTATCATTTTTTAAAAATATGCACTTTAGTCCAAATAAAATTTTGTGTTATATTTTTGTTCAAATAAGTCTAAAAAATTGTACCGACTTTCAAATCACCCAATTTTAAATAGGTATACATAGGAATTGGGTCTAGAACCTTTTCAATTTTAATTTAAAAAACCCATATTTCATTGATGAAGATGTTAGATGTTGATTTTGAAGTATGTTTTTCTGATTTATTTTGATTTTTTGCTTTATAATATGTTAGTGGTGGAATTTGGTTTTTAATGTACATGTCGGATGTTTGAATCAGTTGTGCTTATACTTTTCTATGATAAATGGGTCAGGGGCAAATGGGCCTGTCCCAAAATAATTCATTTATTTGGTGGATAACACGGTTCCTATAGGGTAACCAGTTAAATAAATGGACCGTATTTATTTTTTATGATTTTCATTCGTTTAATAAATAGTTTGTATACGAGTTGGGTGGTTTTTGACACGAATCTTTTTAATTCAATACGAACTCGCTTAATTCGACACGATTGTCAAACTTATGCTCAACCAACAAAATTGGTTTTGTCCTATAGTTGTTATTAGGAATTTCAAGAAAACAAGTCAGAAATTAATTTTCAAAAGTGGTAATATTATGTGCATATTTTTAATATATTTTTTATTTGACCTAAGAATTGGTTATTAGAAAATTATTAGTGAGTGAATTAGTGATATAATATTTTATTATTAGTTTTTTATCTGATTACTAAGATAATGGAGTCAATGGTTAGGTTAGTTTTAAGGTAACTAGTTGATGCACGCGTGCGTTGCACGCTGATAATTTTAAATTTTAAATTATAATTTCTATTTTTAGTTTTCTCCAAATCAAAATATATGATCACCAATGAAATTTGCCATTAAAGTTTTGCCCGCTACTCACAAATATGTCAATAATTGTGTCTGCTGATTTTTCAAATGTAAAATGCAAAAAAGGCAATCTTCTAATAAATAGACCTGATGCATAGTTAACGTCGAAGCATCTTCAAAACACTTCAAAATAATATTTCATAAAATTGTTTGTTCAAAAGACTTGGATCAAGCATGTTATGAATAAATATTTAAATTTTGAGTCATGGGTACAGGACCCTTTACATGTAAGACCTATTGCTCATGCAATTTGGGATCCTCATTTTGGTCAACCGGCTGTGGAAGCTTTTACTCGAGGGGGTGCTCTTGGCCCAGTGAATATCGCTTATTCTGGTGTTTATCAGTGGTGGTATACAATCGGTTTACGCACTAATGAAGATCTTTATACTGGAGCTCTTTTTCTATTATTTCTTTCTGCCGTATCCTTAATAGCAGGCTGGTTACACTTACAACCAAAATGGAAACCGAGCGTTTCGTGGTTCAAAAATGCCGAATCTCGTCTTAATCATCATTTGTCAGGACTCTTCGGCGTAAGTTCCTTGGCTTGGACAGGGCATTTGGTGCATGTCGCTATTCCTGGATCCAGAGGGGAGTACGTTCGATGGAATAATTTCTTAGATGTATTACCGCATCCCCAAGGGTTAGGCCCGCTTTTTACAGGTCAGTGGAATCTTTATGCTCAAAATCCGGATTCAAGTAGTCATTTATTTGGTACTTTTTTTCTTTCATGTGAACGGCCCTATCTTGTATCGAAAGGTTTTTCGTGCTATACACCACGTTGAGAAAGACCAACCTCCTATGTACCGTACTCTTTTTGTACCTCGAAAGGGGGGTCCTCCTTATGATGCTACGGACGGCTGTCCGAAGTGCAAGGGGTAAACTCGGCCAAAATCGGATAGGATTGTGCGTGCCGGGCCCTTCGGGTATGACTTGGATCGAGCATGTTATGAATAAACATTTTATGCTACATGATTAATTCATATTTCTTGGTCTATAACATAATTGTAAAAGAAGCGAGAATATGAAAGACATGAAATTGTTCAAGTTCCAATTGGTGGCGGATATACGTATTATAGTTTTATCTTAATTTTAATTAAGATCATTTCTATTACGAAATAATCAAATAAATATATTAACAAATATATACTTATGAATCAAAATATAATTTAATAAAACTTATATGTAATGATGTATTCTAGAATTGTTTTATCAGGTACATAATTTAATTATTGTCACACCAACAACTTAGTTCTCTTAAGTTTTAACGTATAAATTTATACAATGTTTAATTTCTAAATTAATGTGGCCGAACTTAAGTTTGATATTTTTAGTAATGGATGGCACAAATTCATCATTGTAGATACAATAATCTTACTTGCTTTCAACAAATAGTACTATTGTTGTTTGTGTTACTTGAAACCAGCAACTCAAAATTAACATAAAAGAATTGTCAAATAAAAATAAGAATAAATAAAGAAGCATAAAAATTGCACGTCTAAAAGAATTTGAGTTATGAAACTCTAAGAGTTCTATAAGAGTTATGTCTCTTTAATTGACAGTAAAATACAAGAGAGACTTTTGGCTAGTGAAAAATTAACACAAAATGATATTATTTGATTTTTAGCATGTGTTAATTACATTATTGTCAATCAAAATTTTTTTACAAGTATTAACGTTTAAAAATAGTATAGATAGATAATATAATATGAGCAATGTTATTTGCACCAAATCTTGCATCAAATCTCTTGCAACCGTTGGATCAGTAAATTTTATTACTGATCTAATGACTGCAGTTGATTTGGTGCAATATTGAATAGATATTAAATGATGTAATATGACATGATTGGTAGTAAAAAATTAAATAGGGGTATAAGTAGTATAGATATAGATGTTTACGAATGTAAATAATTTTAGAAGATCATGGAATATGAGAGGTTTATATATTTAATTTTAGAAGTTAAAAGGGTAGGAGGGATATAATAGGTTTTATAATATTAACTGAGGGTAAAAGAGAAAATCAAAAGTTTTTCATTGTTAGCCACTTTTATAAGTAGTATAGATTTTTATCATCTTGTATTTAAAGGTCTTTCTATCAATAAAATAAATATGTTGAATATTGTATTAAACTTTTTTGTGAAATTTTAAAAATTTAGTTCTTCTCAAATTGAACCACCGGAGAGTTCTACCCCATTTGAAGTGAGTTTTATTTGCCCAATTTTATCTTTCGTTTATTTTCTATATTGCTTGAAGTGTGCATGTAATAATTGATATCAGAACAAACGATCTTAATAATGCCGACATAATTAAAGATTTTAAAGTTGATGCGTCTTGAGTTTCAAAAGACGTTCAAGAGATTGATCAAAGAAAATCAACAGATGCAAGCGGGTTTCAACGAAGTTCAAAAAATTCTTCAAGTAAAAGACAATTTATGAAAATAGTCCTAACTCGATCGCCAAACGATGGCTTTTTGGCTGTGGCACAAGTACTAGCAATTATCATCATGGCAATCAACACCATAGCAATTGGGTTAACACCTTTCTTCTCCATTGCTCGACTCTCCGGGGTCTTGATTTTTGCATTAATTGCATTTATATTATGCTTGATTTCACAAGAAAAAGAGCCTACACTTTTTTGTATGTTTTGTATATTTTCAGATAATCTATGTGGAGATTAATAAGAAATTCATTTGAACGATTCTCAATTTTGATTATGAAGTAATGGAAGTACTAGAAATTCGATCATAAGGAAGCTGGTCCAAATTTAAATTGATTTACCTTTTTCAAAACTGGTTTGTAATTGCTAGTAAAGTTATAAATTATAATTCATGAGGTGGGTATGGATCGGGTGGCTCGTAAAAATAAAGGGTTGAGCTGAATATTTTAATCCGTTAATCGACTCTCTGGTACTGAAACCTTGGAAGTTTTTGCTCACTCATTCTCTTTTATCTCTACTTTCCAATAGTAAAGAACACTATATTTTCCCAACTTCTTATGGATCTCAAATATTGTAATAAGATCTCAAGTACTTTCCCTATCAATCTTTTGATACTTCTTAAATCTTTGGATAAACTAGTTACTAACAATTAATGCACAAAATACAACAAAAAAGGGTCCTATATAAAAAAATAGCACTTCAGAGTTGTCGTTTTGGTCTCAAATTTCATTGTGCAGGACCTGCTTTACAAGCTGGATCTGATGCGAGGCTTCTTAACCAGACTGTATCAGATGGAGTTGCTTCATTGTCGTCATTTCTGTGCCATGTCCAGATAGCGTGGGTCGCATTCAACACCTCAAGTTGGCCGTGGCCAAAACTGGCCTCCCTGAAAACTGAAACGTTTGGTTTCGGGTCTATATACCTGTTAACACAATAAAAATTAAATATGAAGTATGAGTTTATTATCGACTTGCAAATCATGCATACGTTTTGAAGAACAAAAGTTAACAAAGAAAGCAATACATTACTGGTTGTGTAAAACCAAACTTACTCGCTGGCAAGGCCTTCGCGATTGCCACCATCTCCAATAGTGATATGTACTGGACCACAATTGTTTGGTTTTTCCTTGTAAATGCGAGTCTGTTATCATATATACACATACGAGTGTGAGAGAGAGAGAAGGGGAGAGAACACAGAGAAAACAAGTTGTATGTCATGCCATGAGATGAATGAGTTGATCCATTGACCGTGCTCACAATCGAAAGGTGAAGACACTAAGGTGATTGTTTGATTGCAACTATGCAAGGCCTAAGTCACAATCTTAATTGCAGTAAAGGGTAAGGTCAGTTGGCATGGGCAAGTCTGACCAGATCAATAACCTTTGATCGAGTTTCCCTTCCCTCATTACCTAATGTACAAAAGCATATGACAGTTTTAAAATAATTAGCATGTTAATATTCGTGGAAGTGCATAGCTAGTAATGGGAGAAGAATAAGAGGGAACAAGGAAGCTTACAAAGCGCTCATAGGCATGGACATGTCCTGCAAAAACGAAATCAACGCGAGCTCCATAAAGTAAATCTTCCATGGCTGCCTTCATCCCAACGGATTCACGCTCCCCCTGATGAGCAGTATTAGAATTGTACCATGGTGCATGGATAAGCACAATGACCCACGGTGTCACGCTCCTGTTTACCTTCCTCAAGTCGGTTTGAAGCCACCTATACTGTGCTGAGCCGGGCTCAAAATCAGTGTACGATCCCAACATGATCACATGGACACCAGAAACATCAAAGGAATAGTACAAGTTGGAATCGGAACCACTCTCCTCAAATGGCATACGCCATCTTGCATTATAGGATGTAAACTTGTGACGATGGATTATAGGGATTTTCTCGATCTCGTGATTGCCTTGTGTCACCATCCATGGCCTCTGGCTTGCTTGTGGCTGAACAAACCGTCCGAACGAGTCCCATAATTTCTGGTCTCCATTAGCATATGACAAGTCCCCTGGTAGGAGCAACATATCATAGTTTGATTTTGCAATGTGCTGAATGGTGGAGCTAGTCCACTCTGTCTGTCCAAGATCACCTACATTGCACCACCAAAATTACTTGCAAAAAAGAGCCCAACCTATGTAATTTGTAGCAAAATGCGTACTAATTGGCTAATTCTATGTACCTGAAATGGCAAACCGGATAGGGAATTGTGCTGGTGGAGTTTTGAAATTGAATTCAGGGGATGAATCCAAGCCACAACGGTAGTAATAAACTGTATTTGGCTTCAATGGACCGATGACAACGTCATGTATTTCCCCGGACTGATACAACAAGTAATGGTAGGAAGTCGTACTCCCATTCGCAGACAATTCATACGACCTCGGAGATGTACCATACTTTACTGTTGCCGGAGTTGGGGATTCAGTAATCCACGAAACCCTCATCTTGTCTTTACCAACCAGAGATATATGCACCTGCAAGAACAAAGATGAATTGATACACTCTGGCTGTGTAAATGGTTTAAGAAGTTGAATTCCAATTTTCCAATATTCATTTTTACTTTTTTGGGTCATTTGAGAATCGACTTGTGCTCACGTTTAGATCTTATAAGCATGTTTTTTTGGTTAAAGAGTTACTCAACTCATCGTTATTCAACTTAGCTAACGTTGTACACATTGGATATACTCATCCTCCTACTCGACATAGTGTTCCAATTTCTGCGGTTTTACTGGCAAATGTATATTTCTTATAATTTTTAATATTTTTGTGGGTAATACTTGTAAAAATTTTCAATCCAATAAAGCAAAAATATGCCATATCTAGTCTTGTGTAGTTCAACCTCCCCTAGTTGGTGACTGGCCTTGAATATGTACATGGAAGAATAACAGTTTGGTATGTCTGACACAAGAGTCACTATTAACTGCAAACACTCAAAAGTTGATTTTCTGTTTTTTGTCGGATCACTTATCATCTATATAATAAAAAAGTAATTTATAATTCAAATCTCAAACGATAAACAAAATGATTTTTGTTATTCGTGGTTGAGATCGCTTTAAATTTTATTTTAAAATTAATTTAACGGCTGATATTAACACCTTAAATTTAATAAGAAAAATAGCGTCATAAGAGTGTGTTTGGAATGATTTTTTAAAAATACTTCTAAAAATTATTTCTCATAAATACTTTAAAAAAAAAATAGTGTTTGAAACTACCTCACCACTACTTCTACCCCCACCACCATCACCGTCGCCCCCCCACCTCTTCCTCCACCACCACCACCACCACCACTGTCGCGCCGCCACCACCACCGTCGCCCCCTACCTCCTCCTCCACCGCCACCACCGCCACCACCACCACCACTAAGGTCATTGCCACCCACCACAATCATCACTGTCTCCTACCATCATCACTACCGCCCCCCACCTCTCACCCCCACTACAAACCGATGTTTAATTCTTTTATCTTTTTTCTATGTTTGTGATTTGAATTTAGATATGAATACAAATATATTTATTGTTTATCATTTTTTATTACTTTGTGCCTCTACGTACATGCAATAACTAGTACATTTAAATGAGACATATTATATATAAATTATTCTTTGACTCCATAGTAATAAATGATTCGTCAAAAAAATAATGAAAATAAAAAAGTATTGAAGTAGATTTGAATACAATATAATGAAAATAAAAAAGTATTGAAGTGGATTTGAATACAATATAGGCAAGTTCCCTTTCTCTTGGATTGAAAAATGAGACAAACAAAAGATACATAATGATGTAAAGTGACTTTTTTTTTTTCCTAGATATAAACAATTTAAACACAATATGGACTTGATATCAAACTTTTGGTACACTACCCCCAAAAAAAAAAAACACCAATAGGCCCTTGACATAAGATTGGATTAGCCTGCCTATTTTCTTTTTCCTCGAAGATTAAAACTATCCGAGATTAGCACATCAACCTTCTTCATCAGTTGCATTTCACAGAGAAACAGAATTAGCTACAAGCAGTTAAAAGCACCAAGTATGGCAAATCTATTGGTACCCACCATTTGAACTCAAAACACAGAAACTAACAAAAACAACCGCCAATGGTGACACCCATCTCTCTCTCTCTCTATACAATGGTAAGAATCGTGTACACTGAATCATTGTTTTTTTCTGGTAGAACCCATTGAACAGGAGAAGAGAAGAGATTACTAGTGTAACAGAGGATATGATATGGTACCTGTTGTGGAGAAGTAGAATCAAGATCTCTGGAGAGAGAGACGAATAGGGACTTGCTCGCAGGTGGGCGATCATATGAATTAGCCAAATCAAACACCATGGCATATGTCAACACCAGAAGCACCCACCGAACCGCCATGGCAATATTTACTCGAGAGAGAGAGAGAGAGAGACGGTGGGTTGGAGATGATACGTGTGGATTTATGGGAGATGGAGTATTTTCTTGGATTCATTGTTTGGATAGTCCTATTTAATTCTTTTTGTCATCATTAATCTCATGTATCATCATTTGTCACTACTAAATTACAATTTTCCTTTAATATAAGCTAGTATTTTTTGATTTGTTATAGATGAATTATTTTAAATTGTATTGGTTAAGAATTTATTAAGATAATAATTTGTGGATGTGAATCATAAATAAATAAACTAGCTTGAATTTTGATTAATTAAATCTAAAATTCAGAAAACCTAAGATAATAATAAAACCCAAAAGAGTCTGTTTCAACCAATATATATTTAATGTTACAATTCAAGACTGTCATCTGATATAATCCGTTCGATAAAAATTCCAAAATAGATAAAGTGTATTCCTTTTG